TCAAGAAACATTGTAATTAAATCATTGTTTATGTGGTTATGTATGGGAGATTGTGTGAGTGAACAAGTGAGAATGAAATGAAACGTTATTTTTCTTATGATATTAATTTAACCATGCCATTAAGAAAGACCAAACGGGTCGCAGTTTGCGCGTATCTGCTCTAGAGAAAACAATATACTACTGTTGATAACTAAACAAGTTAGGCAGCACACAGCCCTTCCTTATTGATTGTTTGTTTTTGTGTTCTATTCATTTTCATAACTTATAACAGTCGCGGAAGAAATTGTATTTTTCTTCTAGTGCACGGAGGAGTAATGGATAGCGGCTCGGACTGAGAAATCGGAGAGCCGAGTTCGAATTCCAGTCAAATCCATTACATTCACTCACATGCTATTACCCTTGAGTAAGGTATAAATCCTCTTCTTCTCCCCCCCATATATGGGTAAATAGCAGGACAAACTGGATTCTATAGCCTTGGATGGCAACTGGTCTACCGCAGAAAGAAATGGCAACCTACTGCGGGGAAAAAACTGCTTCGTCAGTCATGTATCAAAAGATACATGATCGCCTAAGCATGTATCACGCATGGCACATAACTGACTGAAGTGACAAATTTGAGTCACGAGTCGTCAGTTTAACCCTTATTACTCGTTGATGCTTTAATAAAACTCTCGTGTCGATTGATAATCTCAAATCTAGTTCCATTGCAAAATGTTTGTTGAATTGATATATTACGTAACTGTCACAGTTTTTCAATGTTTATAATGGCATACCAAAAGGAGAATAAATTCTATTGGAGAAGAAGCAACAGCATCTCTTTAGTTATCTCCTTTTTGATCGATATTGAAAGTAAGTCTAAACATTTTTTGAAGTAAATCAAAGAACATCATTCAGAGAAAAGTATATATTTTGTCATTGTGAATAATATCAGGTTTTGTTGTATTTGGTTATCTGTAGTTCAGTTATCTCGTAAATCGGATCTGAATCATTTATGAATAAGGAAAAGCCACTCGATCTTTGAACTGAATTGACAGGAAACGGACACCCTCTGTAAAGTAATGTATTGTTCACTATGTAAGTATTTTTTTTTTTCAAAATTCAGTTTATTATATTAACTTATTTTCGCCAAATCTAATTTCTGTAACAGCTATTTTATTTTTGAGAAATTTAATTGTTTAATTGTTTTGGATTTTTTTTCTTTTGACAGCAAGCACCATCGCAGATTCAAAGTAATTTTTGCATGACAAGTTTGACATGGCAAAATATTGAATAAAAATGGTTTAATATTTGCTTTAAGTATACAAAAGTAATTTTTACAACTAACTTTATATTCATGCAGTTAGTGAAATAATATAAGGAAAATAAAGATAAGCTCTTCGCTAGACTAAAACTCACATTCCTTTTGCCTCAGGAAGCCCGCTTAAATGTACCAACTGCTCTTATTGACTGGCCGACGAGAACTGTATGACTTGGCAGAAGATCAAATCTAACCTTTAAACTTGCTCTTCATTATCCGCGCTGTTCGTTCACAGCCGTAGATTGACGGCCTGAGTAAAAAAAAAAAGAAAAGAAAAGAATTACGATGAAGAAAATTACTAGCCAAAGACTAATAATAATGGCTGATATTTTATTTTTTAAAATAATTAAATATAATATTTTTGCTAGTAATACTAGTAAGGAAAATACAAAAACAAATATGGCACCAATAGAGATCAAGAAAAATGGAGACCTTTAAGGGTTAGACTTGAACTGCCTAGTCATAGAACTCTCATAACTCAGTCGGTAAGAGCAGATTGTTTAATCAGGTTTTGTTAAGGCAAAAGGGACGCAATTTAGAGTTTCACTCAGAGCTTTTCCTTTGTTCATTGCTGTAGATTGACGACTTAAGAATCAAACTAATTGTCTACAGCAAGGGTGGGCAACCTGCCGGCCGCGAAGGCATTTTGACCGGCCCGCGAGCCTGATTACCAATGACTCTATTTTTAGCATGAGACGAGGTTTTCGAATTCAACAAAAGGCCTGCTGTTATCTTCCTCTGATCCACCCAACCGAATTTGAATACTATGACCGCAAAAACACGATCAAAACCCAATCACCTCTATTTCAGCGTAAAAAATAAAAAAATAAACATAAAACAAAAATTGAGAGCCGATTTGACCGACCGACCGGCGACAGCTTCAAAGGGACAATGTTGTCTCAGTCGGCTTTCTATTTCATTACTCCAACAGCGACACCCCCCCATCGCAGCGAGGTAGCAGAAATCTAAAGACAGTTAAACATACGCGTGCATTATACATACATGCCTCATGAATGTGTGGATGATACCACATGTGTACGTACGTAAGTGTATATGTTTGCAACTATTTGTACTTGTATGTATGGGTATATGTGCTTCGTTTTTTTTTGATGTATGTGTGGTTCGTTTGTGGAACAATTTTCAATAACAGTTTCAAACCTACACGTCATAATTTCATCCATTTCACTTCGGTTGATTTTTTTTCACTTTGAAGTATTTTGACGCTCCTTGAGGAAAAGTAATTTTTGTTAGGTGTTTTTTAATTTTAGATTTTCTTTTGTTTTTCTGATTTCTCAACGTTTATTTAGGTTGACAGGGGTCTGCATATGTAATTTTCCTTAATTTTTCATTAATGGCCTTCGTCCGGCCCGCGACCCGTCATTATAACACGATCCGGCCCGCGGGGTCGAATGAGTTGCCGACCCCTGGTCTACAGCAACAGCCACTCCAATTTATTTAACCACCTAGTTTATTTTTCACCAATTGCGCTATTTTCATTCAAAACAACATTCAATGATATGCTTAGTGTTATAATCTTCCTAAACCAGATCTTCTTCTGATTCATGTTACACAAATTTCCAACACTGGCCGGATGTGAAACCCAAGACCGAACAAAAAACACGCATCGGCTCTGCACACACATTCCGCTTTCCTCGCCCCCCACCAAAAAAAAAAAAATATACAATCCAATTTTTTATCCAATAGCACCCACTCCCGTCTAAAGAAGCGAAATAGGAATTGGAGCCAATCTGAGACTACGAAAAGATCTGAGCTTACGAAAACCCGTCAAAGTGACATCTTCGGCAGTCGGTCGGCACAACAGCCAGGGTTCACACGTTCGTCAGAACGCCATCTCCACATCCAAAGACAACTGGCCTCCCATCTCCAAGAACAACTAGCCAAAGCCCGTCGCCGCAGTAAGTCACAACTCCCTCTCCCTCTACTACCGTAAGCTACTGCGGACGGTTTTACTTATCTCTTTCTTTCAACGAAAGACTTTCACACCACTTCACCATTCGTTGTATTTTTTGTTAATACAATAATTTATTTCTTAAACCTCTGTCGTTTCTTGTTTCTGCCACCATACGCTTAATATAACATTGGTAAGAGAGCAAAAAGGTATTAAAAAGATGTTGAACAAGCATAGGTTGAGTATGAAGTTGTCTGCATTTTATTATGAATTTTGGCAAGTGTTTTTTTCTTTTCCTTTTGTCTCTATTGTTGCCATCACAACAGCGATCGTGTCGTTTTTAGTTTAAACTTTATACCATACGGGTTATAGGTTAAGAAAACCAAAAATAGGTGATTTATTGTTAACCATTTGAATATGTAATTAAAAATCGAATAGCGTGCAACAACTCCTTTCGAAAAAGAAAATAGCCACGTTGAAACAATGGATAGTTTTTGTTATTTTTTTTTTTTTTTATTAGTTCTTCACTTCAGTAAGTCATATCAATCAGTATACTTATTACAATTACATAAATGTTACCAATAAAAAAACTCAAACTTGAAACTATATCGTGGTCAGATATTTTTCACGACCACACCCACCTCAATATATCCAACTGCGTGATTTCATACCGCTTTCTGTTGGAATGTATTTTTTTTAATGGAATGCGTCTAGTCAACTATGATGATACGATTGAGAATTGTATTGTTTTTTTACTTTTATTCATGCGATAGTTGCTATGTTACGAGGCTACAATGTCTAGCCTCGCATACATAAATTGTCCACTTGTCTTTGCACCCTTATTTGTTCAGACATCTCAGGCATAAAAGATTAGCCCTGACAACCCCCACCCCGACACACACACACACACACACACACACACACCTTAAGTGCAATGGCTAAGGTACAGCGTTTGGTAACGAATCCCTGGAAATAAGCGTTGGTTAATTTCTACCCTAAAACAATGGTAAATACTAAACTTATATTGGTTTGACACAGTCACAACTACAGACATCTAGTAAGGACTGACGCAATGGTTTAGCAAACCAGTTCGTTAAAGGTGACATGTGTACTGTATCTGTGTCTTCAGCTGGGATGTTGCTAACGTCACAATTTTATGTACTGCTTTCTCGCCGAAAGCCAAGTCAGTTTTCTGCTTCAACTGTGAAATTTTTATTTTTTTAATTAATAAAACAAAAATAACGTTAAAAATGCCACGATTTGTCAGGATGTAAGAAATCATATATCTCCTTTTTCTGTTAATATCTGTTAATGACTATGACTTTTGGGGAAAGAAAGTGGAGTGATTGTAATTTCCAATTGCTTTCATCCATGGTTTTGAAATTCTCATAAACTAGCTGCCATCCAAGGTTTCTTGTTTGTGAAACTCCTTCCCGGCTTCTTGTTTCCCGTCAACATGGTTCTTCAAAAATTTAAATGCAGTCGTTATTTTCTGTCTTAATTCTTGTTCTTTTGTTGTTCCCTTTCCTTAATAGTTTTTTTTTTCTCTCATATTCTTTAACCCTCAGCCCTTGCATCTTAGTTGCGTTATTGCCTTGCTTGACGCGTCAGGATGTAAGTGATCATGACTTTCTTTCCTTTTTCTATTAATACCTGTGAAAATTAATTTAAAAAACGTGGATCAAGGCAATAAGAAACCACAATCACTTCAATTTAATTACCCAAAAGCCATAGTAATCCACATTATCAGTTAAATTCTTTGTTTGGCTTAATTTTGTTTCTTTTGTAATAGACTTACGGCAATATCACATTGAAACAACGGTTCTCGTACGATCACTGAAGTTAAGCAACGTAGAGTCTGGTCAGTACCTAGATGGGTGACCACTTGGGGATAACAGGTTCTATAAGTTTGGATGTGTGTAAGGATAATGGCTAGGAATTGTTAATCGGGGAACCGTGTTCAATTCCATTTGGGTTCATTATAGTCACTTACGCATAAATACCACGGTGAAAGGCATGAAGCCACCACTTCTCCCCCATGCTATGGGTTAATTAGTCAGATTTGTATCACTAAATCATTATTATCTTTAAAAAAAAAAACTTACAATCTAAAAATATTTTCTGGTTTTAAAAGACCTGCAAAGGGTTGATGAGCTGTAGAAAACGAATCAATCAATAAATCTTTTGTAATAATAAAAAAAGAAAAACAATTCCTTTAATTAAAACTTCTATTGCTAAAAAAAAACTGATTTAGTAGGTTTTATATACTTTGTAAACGACTTCGTGCATGGTGACAGCTTATAAATTTGTAAGAACATTTCAAAATCTGGTTCACCCTCCTCCCTGATCTTTTGAACAGGAGTAGAGGTTTATCGCATGTTTTCAGTTCCTTGTAAAAAAAAATTTTTTTTTTATTCTCTTTAATTCTCAGTACCACCCTTGCATCTTAGTGGCATTATCGCCTTGTTTGGAATGAATACATTGTTCATATATCCCGTAAATTAAATATCTACAACTATGAAAAATAAAGCTGAAAAATATTTAAACTCGTTGTCACAAATTTCTTTCCAGAATCTTACAGATGTCTGTTGTAACCTTTTCGAGATTTTTATCCAATTCATGAAGGTAGATTTTTCTCATTTTATTTTCAGACATCCTCATGATCGAGTGGATTATAAAAAAAAAATAAAATAAAATAAAAGCACGGGTTAAAAAATGCGTATCTGTTTTCCTGGAAGTCCTGAATGTAATCTCTGGGTTGGGCAGAGTGGAAAATTTATATACTCTGGTTACGAAGAAACGCACAAAGGAAAATCAGAGAGAGATTTCCATTTAACTGATATGGGGTACCTTTTCCATCTTTTTTTTTTATTCCGATAAAAAGATAGACACACATACACACACACAACAGTCAACAAACAGGACAAAGTTTAGCCTTGACACACCGATTGCCTTCACGCTAATTGCATACTAGACAATTAAAAGACGCCGACCAAATTAAAGTTCGCGGCACTAACTGCTGTTCATTTTCTCTCTCTCACACACTTTCTCCTGTGTTCTTAAATAGTTACTGTTTTTTTGTTTTTTTAGCTATCTTATAAACCCCAATGACATTTCATTTAATGCATCTGTTGCATTACATTTTATTCTGTGCTGTTACGAAATCCTTTTTTCTTTAACACTGACAATTCTCACACGCATCTTTTTACATATACACCAAGAATATATTGTATAACACAAACAAAAAAAAAAACTATCATTTTAAATTGCATATAAATTTTGAATCTACGTTTTTACGTGTAATTTTGTATTTTTTGTTGTTGTATGAATTTACTCCCTTTCTTCGCCATGATATGTGAAAATTGGATTCACTTTCCATCAATTGTAAATAAAAATCGTTCATCATCATCATCATCATCATCATCATGAGAGCTGTTTCGACTTGAAAGCAAACTGCAAATAAGTGTGATTGCTTATCTTCGGCAACTGTGTAAATATCTCTGATTAGTCCACTCCAAACATTCCTATCCTGTGACAACACACGAAAATGCTACAGGTCTTCTAGGCTCTCCAGGGCTTTTACAGTGAATCCTGGAATTTCATTGACGGTTATTTTAATGTCGTTGTTCAGTTTATATGTTTATTTTCAGTCTTCCATGCAGGGCCAGCTCAAGGTATTGGCAACACGGGCAGTCGCCCGAGGAGACATTATTGCCGAGGACGCCACCATGTCGTGTGTTTGGAATCTTCCAAAACTAAAGCTTAAAAAAAAAAAAACAAAAAAAAACACTTGTGGTTGTCCATGCCTTAAGACAGATTAAATCTTTTGACTATTTTGTCAATGATCTTGTAAAGAAGATAAGTGTAGAAAGTGCCATGAAAAGATTTGCAAATTTAAAAGCTAGAAAATGTTTTAGGTAAGGTAATGAATGTTTTTTTTTAAACTTGTATTAAGTTGTAATAAGGTTGTTATTCTACATTTTCAGTTTTTCTCCTTGTAAAAATAAAAAAAATATATATACTTCTAAGGGCGCCGAATTTCAGCTTGCTCGGGGTGGTAGCAAACCTAGGGTCGTCATTGCTTCCACGAAAATTGGCTGCATTTCTGTTCTCGACATTAAACACCATAGCTTTATTTTATGAGAAGGAGATTGCACATCTAATTGATGCACATGATCAAATAGTTCCCATCTTAATTGGAGAAGGAAAAGTGATATCTGATATGTTTTCTTTTGTATAAGTTGGAATTGGAAATGATGAGAGGGGTATCTTTTGCCCATTTAGTTGTTTTAACTGTTTTCGATGGAATTAATCAAGTTTTTCTTGTCAATTTCCACGTAGCACAATTGTATGTTAATACTGGTTTTACTATCGCGTCGTACAATTTCAGTCGACGCTTTTCACTAGTTACTAGTCATTAATATTTTCACTAGTTTTCACTAGTTACTAGTCATTAATATTATCTCGTCTAAATCTAGGTACCTCCAAAGATTCGGTAAAAAATACATGGTGAAAAGTGCCCAAAACTTAATAAAAACAAAGCTTTATCGTCAATTTTTTTATTATTAAGAAGAAATACCAAAGGATTTTTTTATTACTAAATTATATTTTTAATCTTTTTTAGGACTTTCGAAATTTTGGTTAAAAACATTTTCTTGCGTGAACGTGGGACCATAAATTCATATGGTGAATTTAGTGTCTTTGCGGTGAAAGACATGTCGGAGTTAGCTCCTCCTCAGCTCCTTAACCCTTCACCAGGGGTCTCTCTCCCCTGGCTATAAATACTGGCTGACCCTTCGCCTCTTCCTCTTTTTTCCTTCTGCCTTATCCCACCTCGCAGATGTGAGCTCTCACAGATACAGCGTTTCCCAAATTCTGGGAACACGCTAAGAACAATACCAATACAAGTACGTACGAACACTCACCACACGCACTCAATGTAACTGTCCATGTGCTTGTAACTTGTACTTGTTGTTAATACATATATTTTTTTACATATTTTTGTTTGTTTTCCTTGTCTTCTTTGGACTTAATTAAAGTCCAACTTTCTCATGTAGTTTGACCGGCTAGCAGGAAATTCTACCCACGTATGTTTTACATACTCATCACCCATTGGTCTTCTACAGACACATTGATTTGGAAATTCTTACAAAAATCAGATAATTGTCGGAGTTTAATGAAATTTTCGGGACTGAATTAAATTATTTTATGAAAGTTTTTTTTTTGTTTGTTTGTTTGTTTTTTTTGTTTTTTTCTTTTCATTTTTCTAGCGCTTAATGTTTATATTAGTTATAAGGACAAGGCTTTGGAGAATTTAAATCAAATTTCTTTTGTCAAATAAAGCTAAAGCACCTAAAATTCAATAAAAATATTAGATTACTAAGAATATTTTGCTACGGTTTTTTAGCATTACTGGGTAGTTAAAAACTCTTTAAAAAAGGTGTTTACAAATTATATTCTAGTAATTTTTACAGATATGTAGCCTTTACTTAAGTTTACCAAACATTAAGCTATCGATAAGTCTATCAACACCCACCTCCTTGTTAAAAATGATTTTCCGCGATATTTTAAGCTAAAAGGAAGTAATATTTGTTTTAATTCAGATTAATTAATCTTTAAATCAGTTAATCTTCCTCAAATAGTTTCAGAAAAGTATATTTTATTGTTCAAAGGTTTTTAAATAAACAAAATTATGCCATGTTGACAGATTTATCAATATGGCTGATTTTATATATATATATATATATATATATATATATATATATATATATATATATAACCACATAAACATAATGCAACTGTTCAATAATTTCTGGCTTTGAGCGCGATTAAAATACTTGTACTCTAAGGGCGTTGTGATTTTTTTTTTTTTTTTTTTAAGTCTTAAGACAGCTAAAATTTCTTTTTTAATCCTATCACTCCAAGCAAGGTAATAAAGCCACTAAGGCGCCAGGGGTTACTGTGAGTGAAAGAATCTGAGATAAAAAAAAAAAAAAATATTAAGGAAAGCGGACAATAAGAGAACAGGATTCAATGAGACAGAAAATAACGATTGACTTAGCATTTAAACTTTTGAAGGTCAAAGTTGACTGGAAATCAAGAATCCGGAAGATTGTTCCACAAGCGAGAAGTCCGAGAGAAGAAACCGTTAGCATAGAACTTATGGTTATCTAGCAAGTTCATCTGTAAAATGACGAGACCTGGATGTCAATCTATAACATAGTAGACATTTTTTTTTTTAATATTAAATTTTGAGGCCTGTACAACCTTCCATTTGGTTGGGTGTGCAATCAAAGAATCCAAGTAAAAAAAAACAAAAAACAGGACAATGTCAACACTATTTCTGGGTCTTTCTTTAATAGAAAGATTAACTATCGATTTTTCAATTCTCAACAATACTTGGATTTAAAAAAAAATAATTTAAATCCTTTATAAGGTGATTTCTTTTTCTTTTCTTTTTTTTTTGTTTTGTTTTTAAAGTTTGCACCAAAAATGTACGCACACAACGTAGACGGCACATACGAAGATAGTTTATGCCGAATTAAATGCTTAAATATATTTTTATTCGCGAAATATCCCAGGATTAGGTTTGTTCGTACCTTGAATTGACCTATAGTCAAGTATTTTAGGATTTGGGTGTTCGATTTTCAATAGTAATGTGTAACAACAAACGACAGGGGTCACATGACCTCTCGAGGGCAAAATAAATCAATTATATATTAAATTACATAATAAATAAATTCAAATATGTAACTAACTTTTTTTAATCACTTACAATTAAATTTAAATATTAAATAAAATAAAACCTTAAAAAAAGACAATTCTTTATAAAAAGTTTAATTTCAACTTCTGTCTTAGTTTTCATCAGAATCGCAATTGATCATGTTTAAGACTATAATT